CGCAGGTGGGGGGGGGGGGGGGTAGTTACGAATTTCAATTTACGTGTCTAAAACTGTAACTATTCTGTGACCTGCTTCCCTCTTACCTGGTTCCTACCGCGGACCAATAGATATCACTCAGAAATGGTAAGTTCTCGTAATTTTACCCTGTACTCTGGCCAGCATGCATGTCAGCCGAGGATTTTAAAGCAATAAGTAGATTTTGCTACAAAACTCTTAAATTCGATTCCTAATTCTCGGCCATTCTTTTTTCCAGTCATATGAATACAAATTTATTTTTTAATTTGAGCATAATTTCTTTAAAATTTTTGCTACTATGAACCTATACTGTGATATAGACAAGGTGAGAAAACATATCCTGGGTGAGGAACAGCTACTTATAATGTTGTACAAATAATCCGGACAGCAGACGAAGGGCGATACTCCAGTTTTGTGATTTCGTCAGTGGCTGACGACTTATAGCCTTAATGAAACCACGATGTTGCAAACTGCTACACATAGTAGGAAACGGTTCAGTTGCTGAGCCTTCAGGAATCTGCAATGGACCTTCAAATTTCATAAAAGATGGAGAATTTCTTGACAAGGGAGCAGCCGTCGCCTTCTCAAGAAGGCCTCTGCCCCTTGCATTCTTTAACCAACGAAAACTCAGCACTGTGTGGTTTTCCGATGTTTCTTCCTTCCTCTTTATTTCCTTGAGAAGTATGGTGCAGACATCATACTACATAATAATTGTAAATTATTTCGTCCTGTTTTTTTCTTAAATGTCTCATATAACAAAAATATTTTTTATAATAACTGTGTACCTTAATATGATTTTTACTTTATGTCATGTACAACTAGTAGTTTCATTCCCTGAGATGCTTTCTGAAAAATCGATTAGGATAAATTCGCCGATTATATTGTTGTGCAAACCAAATTTAATCAGAATCCGTCAGTTTCAGATATCTTTTTTCCAGTCATTACGCATGTATAGGCCGCGTGCGTGTATAGGCCGCAGCACAATTTTCAGACAGAAATTATAGAAAAAATAATTTTCTTGGAATATTATTTCAGGAGTAGAACACCCTGTATTACTAATTATGAATATAATTTTTTTAAATGAAGTGTGATTTCGAATATTTCGAATATAAGCCGCACCCCAGTTTTCCTCTTGAATTTTTGGCAAAAAATGTGCGGCCTATACATGCGTAAATACGGTATACACGGAGAACTGTGAGTCATCCCAGTAGGTCTTGTGTTTATTTGATGCACTTTGTTCAAAGGATGCACAGCAAACTGATATTAAAGACACGTTCTTAACTACAGCCCTATATAAACATTCACTCGTCGGATCGTACCCAGATACAGGTATGATATGTGCACAATATTTCGCCTGAGAACTCCGAATGAGTCTGACGGCGTAACGGAGTAATTTTAAACTTTTTCTACACCGTCATCGGTGACTTTGTTTGCTGCATCATCGTGTGATTCATAGTTCGGGAGAGCAGGAATGTGAAACAACGATTAGATATGCTGGAAACAAATTAAGTTCCTGTCTTGTGATGTACTTAGAGGTCATTCAGAGGGGTGGGCAGTAGCAAAAATCCTACAGTTGGAAGTCGTTAAGCGGATATTATTTGTCAACAGTAACCGAACCTATTTTACAAGCACAACATACATAATAAGACACAAATTAATTGCGTAAATAAGTAGTGAACATCGTTAATTTAGATTTCAGGTACAATAAAAGATATTTCAGATAAATATTAACATTTAACCCTTTAAAACACAGTGTTCTATATACTCCACTTGCCCAGACATATTGAAACACTGTATTCAGGCAATAGAATGTGTTTCGCAGGATTCTCACAATAAATAAGGCTTGCTTTCCTAAATTACATTAACCGGTTTATCTTTGTAGCGGAGATGTAAAGTGTTTCCTGTGAGGTACGATCTGAAATTTTATACACGGTGTAGAAGAAATTAAGTCTGTAGAGTTTTAATTCAGGCCATTCGTCGAGACAAAAGCTTTCAATTTTTGAGGAGAATCCTCTCTTAGTTGGGATATATTTGCTACTAATTGCGATATTTTAACTAAATACTTAACTTCGTGGACAAAAATTCTTGCTTAAAAGCTGATAGTAGCTCAGTTAGTCAACGAATTCCCTTTCTTTGTGGAATCCGAAGGTTCATTTATTTCTTCATGAGAACTACCAATCGGTCTCTATCCCGAACCAGACTAATCCACTCTATACACGATTTATTCTAATAATATTTTCTCCCCTGTTCTTAGGTTTACTAAATGGCCTACTTTCTTCGGGTTTTCCGAAAAAATTATGAAATTTCCCAACCCTTCCATGGACCCTCTGCATTTCTCCAATCTCACACTCTTTCATTCCATAATTTTAAAAATATTTGGCAATCAGTTCAACCTGTGACGGTCATTTCGCAATTTTACCCAGTCGCTCATTACGTCCGCTTCTTCAACGTCTATATATAGAGATTAGGTAAAGTTATGCCCGTTCTCAACGAATTAAGCACTGGGGTGGATTTATAGTTATCTTTATCCCGGTAGTAGCTGGAGACAAGTTATCAGCTTCACCCCCCGGGCGCTTTACCCCCGGAGAAAGAGCCCCCAGTACCCATTGGATAGGAGGTTGGGTTGACCCCAGAGCCTGTCTGGACGATCTGTAGAAGAGGAAATTCTTGACCTTACCGGGACTCAATCTCCGACCACTCAGTCTTCCAATCCGTAGCCAGTCGCTATACCGACTGAGCTACCGCGGCTCCATGCGACTATATGGAACAAGCAGTCGCGCATAAAAAAGAATGTACTATGTAATAAATTTGAAAACTGTATTACTTAATAATGTGATCAAATGTCTCAAGAAAAGTATTTCAGAAATGAAATTTGGAATTCATTATTAATAATGATTGTAAGAAAAGAGCACAAACTGGGGAAGGAATTCTAAATAAACTGGATTAAATTTCAGGTTACGTATCTGCAGTCGCAGTTGAAACTGAAGAGAAAAATATAATTAGATTACGATTGCAGAATGCACATCAATTCAATGGGATTATAAGATGCCTACTTATTACAGACTGACAGTGGGAAAACAGAAGATTCCTCTGTCAGTATAGATGATAACTCGGCTAAGACTGGGACTAAAGGAATCTAGAACCTTACCACTGCAAGGCATTCGAATTTCGTTTTTTAAGAGATTTATATGCTGCAGTAAATAAATATTTTCCGCAGTGATAGTTCATCAAAGTTGAAAATGAGCGAAGAATGCTTTGCGAATGGAGAAACATACAGTTCTCTTTGAATTTAGGCACAAACAACGGGAATTAGCTCTACGGAATGAAGTAAACATTTTTTAAATGATCTGTATTGAAACTATTATTCTGGTGGCATTAATGTCAATGACAATGCTGATGAAGACACCGAAGTATATGAACATTAATCTCTTAATTTTTATTGAATAGGCCAGAAGGGATCCTCATATTCTAAGACAAAAACCAGTGCGCTCCAGTATAGGAAATAGTGTGGTATATATCACATGTTCCTATTATTTTCAGATGTGTAGGTTGTGAACTCAGCTCCTTCCAATAGATAGCATATGTTCTACCGTTATGAAGAATTGTACGCGTTGAAAAAATAAGGAATTCCTTATTATTTTGTTAATTTGTAATAAATATGTCGCACAACAAATTGTTTTGCATTTTTAATTTAACAATGCATCGTGTTTTGAAATAGAGGTGTTAAAAGGAGAAGAATCACATAAGAATGGCGTCCCTTGTTCAAGGAAATTCGAAGTAAACTTTCTCGTGTGTCTCCTCATGCTATCGTAATATTACAGTTGTGTCATTTACTCTACAGGGAAAAAAATAAATAACTGTGTAAAATCCCTCAGAGTTTCACCTTCTTATACGAAATATTCCGTGCTTCTTCTTTCTTATTTTTCAACAACGACGACAGCATTAGATAAAACTCATACTTACTGGTGGGTCTTCGAAACCAAACTGCGACCAAAGGACTGAGATAACCTTCCTTGTTTGTGAATGGGAAGAAATAACCTGGGAACCCTCGCTGAGGAATGTACTGGATGGGCCCTCTATTCTCCACATCAGCCGGATTTTCTCCTTCACAGCTAACCCATACAGTGTTCAACTGGAAATAATATAATTAAACTCGAAGTAAATATTAATGCCTGTTAGCTAAAATAAATCTTAAAAAATTGTGTTAGTTGAAACAAATATTTAGCGCTCCCTTCTAACATTGTTATGGGGAAGGTGGTAAACAAGTTTCGTGCGTCTTAACAGTAAATTCCAGTTCCAGTCAATAATAAAGGAAATCTAACGACGTAATGAGGCTTCCTGTTGGTTATAATTTTTTTGCTGAGATATTGAATCATCTGCTTCAACAATCTTAAGAGAGAAACGTGCCTATCTCTGTTGTCCGATATTCAATTTAAAAATAATTACCCCCAAAATTCTAAGTGTTTCTGTTTTCAATAGGCATCATGATACGAATATTTCATCGAGACATTCTGTCCTGTAGTCAATATGGCCCTACCTCACGGCGTGGTTTGTATTCAATCGAACCAGGCTTGGCACTATTTGGCTTATAATAAGAAAACATACATAGAACAATAAGCGTCTAAATGACACAAGTTAGTGCATTATGCACATTTTTTTTCTCCTTGGCACTACAGCCCCAGTGGGCCTAGGCCTACCTCCATGAACTTCTCCGTTCACTTCGGATTTTCTAGATCTTACACATTCGGTAGGACCCCTTGTGCAGGTGATCGACTCGTCGCAAGGTCTCTACCTGTACACAAACAGAAAAAACACACACACACACACAAACTAAACATCCATGCCCTAAGTGGGATTCGAACCTACGATCGCGGTTTCCAAGCGAGTGAAGACAGTACATGCCTTAGACCGCTCGGCTACCGCGACCGGCATTATGCACATTAACACCATTATTTTCAATTCCTTTATATGAAAATATTTCCCACCAGGACTAAAACCACTGCACCAACATAACACTCTCATCATACAGACAAATTTAGGCAAGTAATTCGAGGATTTGTAGGTATTATACTGTGACGAATGTGACCATTTTGTAGGCAACGGTTCAGAAAACACAGATTCCTGTTGCAATGGACACGCTGGCCAAAGCGTTGCCACGGACTGACACAAGTTTCCACGGCAACGAATATTAACAAGGCATTTCCGTGACAACGGGAGAATAACAACTAACTGTTCGAGATTGTGCTCTCTCGTCGGTTCGTCTGAAGTTATAAAAGAGAGTTCATTCGTAAATCAAGAAAGCATTCGTCGGACAGGACTCGTAATCATTTTAGAAGGATTTCAATGTGTGAGCAGTGATTCGTCGTTCGTCATTCTTCGCAGTGGAAGAGAAGATATTCGTAGTCCAGTTAGGAATGGAGCGAGTCGTAAGCAGCCATTGATTGTGAGCTGTTACAATTGGTTGTAGTTGTAAAGAAGTGTCAATAAATCCAGTCATCTAATTCAGAACGTATTATTATTAGCCACGCAAACCCCGAATAGGTGACAATACGAAACGGTTAGAGACAGAGAATTGCAGACGAAAAACACAGAAATAAATAAAATGTTAAATAATTATATTAGGATTTTGTCACTACATAGTGGAGCCTTCTTATGATCGAAGTAGATGATACTGTCCAACTAGTACCTTTACTGTTGGCATTAACTTACTGCAGGAGGATAATGTGACCCGATGCTCTTGATGTGCTCTTTGAGGGCTCTAGGCATATTTTCAGGAAGGGACGCTGTGTCATTGTAATATCCAGGCACCCAGTTGTAAATCTAGAAAGATTAATAACAGCAGCTGTAGTAGTTATGGAAATAGTATTAGTATTAGCAGTAGTAGTAGTAGTAGTAGTAGTAGTAGTAGTAGCAGCAATAGTAGTGGTAGTACTGGTGGTGGTAGTAGTAGTAAAGTGCAACTCCAGGTCTTATATATACATCCTTTAAAGTCTACAATAATTTCAAAAACTAGGTTTAAACCGAGGTAGGGTAAACCTGCCTGAATGCGGTGGCGAAAAGAAAAATCCCTGCTCATGCCGAAAACCGAATTTCGGTCGACAAGCCTGTAATAGTGTGCCCAATACCATACAAGCTACTTCTAGTACTGCTACTACTACTACTACTACTACTACTACTACTACTACTACTACTAACTCAATTGAATTCTTTCTTTATTTACGTATTCAGCTCCATAGCCAGTGGCTAGTTAGCGAGTCAGCACGAATAAAGTAAAAAACAACAATAAGGTAAAAACGGGATAAAAAAAAATAACAGAATAAAAATAAGAAACGAAAGAAAGTGAACCAGATAGGGCTTCTTACACTCAAACATGAGTTACTAAGATATCTGTACATTTACAAACTGCATTTGTAGTAGAAGTAATAATTAAATTCAATAGGTCGCTTTATTTAAGTGCTTTCCAACAGAGAGAGGCATATAACAACAATAACAAAAATAATAACTTGTCACAAATTACTTCACTTTACTGGGTCTTCTACCTCCTTTAAAAAGGACTAAGATCTCTAATATAGTTATGGATACCTTTTACATAATGACTCAAAACTATATTTCTCACTCACCTTATTTAGCTTCAAGAATATGCAAGGAGATGCCCAGTGATAACCGTACCGAGATTCCGAATTACAAATTCGCCATTCCTTCGGATCCACATAACAAATGTCATCTCTTGAAGAACTATTATAGTCACAATACACTGTTCTCTTGCCACCCCCAGGAACCATGTCAGGATTCTTGTATGCTATGAAGAAACAAATAGTACATTCCTGCTCACCAGTCTCTGCAAATTTGAACTGCCACAGCTACTATGTACGTCTTTATCACAAACGGCTGAGAGAAGATAGTGCCAGATATGTTAGCATGGTTCTGAATCTGAGAGGGGCGATATTATGTTGAGACATAGGTGGAAAAAGTTTTGCAGATACAACTTAGTAGTCTCTATCGTAGTCCCTCAATAGTGCAGAATACAGATATTTGGGTTAATTTCGTACCACTCCCTGCAAAATATTCCATTAATATATTTTTTGTTCTTATGTTTCTTATATCTGAATTACGCTTGTCAATCCTGACAAAACAGTATATACCGAATCGGATAATTTGAACAGGGAAAATACCTACCTTTCATTCATTGCACAAGTTCCATTAAAAAAAAAAAAACAACAAAAAAAAATGATTTGTAGGCCTACTATAAATTTAGACGTAATGGTCTCACATATTGAATGAAGAGCGAAAAATTCCATCTTTCGCCTGTGGTCTTGAAAACAGTGTACACAAATATTGAGACTTACCATGCAATATGTTATAATGGACCTTATTCTACTTGTATTTTTAAAGAATATTCTCGCCAGTGACAGAAATATTACCCCGGTTGGTTTGAAAATATTCAAATTACTTTTTTCTTATAACTGTTTTGATAACATTCGCATCTCTTTGTATGCATCATTTATGGTGTTACTGCCTAATACACTGCAAGACACAGATAATCATTCTAACTTATCATTATCAGTACTGAAATTAAAAGGACGTGACATACCGCATTTTTTCATTATTCAACTCTGTGGAAATGTGTGATGTTGTTTCAAGCATTAAAATAGATGGAAATAGACTAGTATAAGAATTATAAAATAGTATATACATCGTAGCAAATATAGGACAGCAGGAAGAAGAGTGAGGAAATGGGTCGATGAAAAACTTTGCTGTATTTTCGAATGCTAAAAAAGGGACATTCAGAATGAATATAGGAATTTTCAGGGAGAATGGGAACCTATTTTTCTCGCGCATGCGTAAGTTAAGGATCAGCTTACTAAGCCTTAAGTTGGCTAATTGGAACAAGCGATACAATTAGAACACTAACGTCAATAGTAAATGTTAAAATTCACATATGCATATTAGCGTCATAATCTTCTACTTGATGTTCGAAGGCAGCAAACACAAGATTATCTTGCAAGGACCAAAAATGTTCCTACGATCATCGTCAAAAGTCCATTAATTTGTGTAAATTATATNAACAATTCGCCTCATCGGGACTCTAACCCGCGACCTCCCGGCTTGTAGCATAATGCCTCAACCAACTACGCTACCGCAAACTCCAAATAAAGATAAAGAGGATCTAAAAGAATAAAAGAACTCAGCTTCTGGCTTGTTGATTATTTTATTGGTGTCTGCAATAGACGTGCCCTTGCATAATGAAATGTATTATACAGTATAAGGAAATCGACAATCACAATATTTGATTTAATATTACAATATTAATATTGTAATATTAAATCAAATATTGTGATTGTCGATTTCCTTATACTGTATAATACATTTCATTATGCAAGGGCACGTCTATTGCAGACACCAATAAAATAATCAACAAGCCAGAAGCTGAGTTCTTTTATTCTTTTAGATCCTCTTTATCTTTATTTGGAGTTTGCGGTAGCGTAGTTGGTTGAGGCATTATGCTACAAGCCGGGAGGTCGCGGGTTAGAGTCCCGATGAGGCGAATTGTTTTCAATTTATCTAATCTTTCCGGCTGCACTATGGCCCTGTGGTCGACTCACCCTCTAACAGAAATGAGTAACATAAATCCTCCTGGACGGTAGAAGGTGGCAGGGGCGTAAGTCTGACAACTTTACCACCATCTGTTAGCCTCCTAGAAGACGTGGAAGCCTCTGCCTCTCACAACCTTATGGGTCTTCACGACCTGATACAGGGACAGCTTTACATTTTTACCCCGAGCGTGCACCCTCCCAGAGCGGAATGGTCCCAACTTTTATGTGCGCTCCGGGTAAAGGAAGAATTACGTTTCCACTACTACAAGTGCCATACGTTTAATGAAGTCGTCTATGATCCTGGTCCACGTCGTGTAGTTGTCTCGATCGAAACTTATCAAGGTGCTAGCTGCAAAATTGTCTGGCTGCTTGGGACGATAGCGTAGGCCTAGAAACACAAATAATTCTTAATAAATATTTTGAGATTTCTTGTTTCGATACACATAGAATGTATACTTAAAATTTATCTAGGGCTTATCAGTCTATTCAATTTATCTATATATCCATCCAGCAATCCATCCAATGGTTCATCAACCATCGATCCAAACTTTAATCCATCCATTCCTCTATCTACCTGTCTGTCTGTCCAGCCATCTATCTATCTATCTATCTATCTATCTATCTATCTATCTATCTATCTATCTATCTATCTACTCGTACCTATCTATCTATCTATGTATCTATCTATCTATCTATCTATCTGTTTGTGGGTATACATATGAACATGTATATCGCCTTCATAGACCTGTCATTCAAGGAATAAGCAGAAATTTTTGGATCCGAAACGAAAGCGGAATTTCTTACCAATTTTCTGTATAACTTACATACGTCATATTGCACAATGGATAACAGATGATCGTGTTGCCAGGACCGATTAAGGCCCACCCGTAATTCATTCTCACATACTTCATATATTGCTACTGGTTTTTCATGTTATATTTAACCTTTATCCTACGGCCCTTTAAAATGAATTCTCACAGGTTCCCTCCAAAAAGATCACCATCTCCAATTTATTCTCTAAATTATCACTAGGCCTACGTGTAGGCTTATATACCAGCAAACAATTAAATATTAGGCCATAAGCAACAACGTACATAAAACTAACAGTCGGTACCAGGCAAGTTGGCTCAAGCAATGACACTTCTGACTTGTACCCGCGAGGTGTCCAGTTCAAAACTCTGCCTGACATATACTAGGCAGACTGAAGTTTTCGTGGTTTTCTCAGACCTTCAAAGAAAATATTGAGATCATATCTTATACCGCTTCCCAGCTTATTACTTTCTACAGCCCAGTCATTAGACACTTCAGAGTTACTGAGAGTTCAGTTAAATAAACTGCAAATAAACAAAGAATGAAAAAAGGAAACCCCTATGATCGTCGTAACTTACACACAGGAAGCAACGAGGATATGTTAAATGCCATGTTGTTACTTCATTGTAGGCGCTAAGTGGTGCGATCTATAGACTCAACTGAGCTAGCGTGATCAGAATTCCGTTATAGCTAACACTCCAGTTATGCGTGTTGCTGTTGTAAGGGACTACCTGGCCGCGCCATAGCTCAAGTGGTTAGTCGCTTTTCTCCCCACCGCGGTGGCCCGGGTTCGATCCCGAGTCTGGTCAAGTGGGATTTGTGGTGGATAAAGTGGCGCTGGGGCAGGTTTTCTCCGAGTACTTCGGTTTCCCCTGCCAATCTTCATTCCACCAATTGCTCCACAATCACCCTCACTTATCATCTGGGGCTGGTACAATAGGCCAGAAGTGGCCGCAGTAAAAGGGACTTAGTCCCACCCCACTAGTATTAAAAATAAAGGGACTGCTTAGTGGAATATAGCAGACAGTTGTAATTTCATGATATATTTCTTGTTCTAGGCGTCTAAAATACGAATAATTCGCATTGCAAGCACAAAGACATTCTTATTCTGGCTATATATCAATTTTCCTCCATTTCTCCCATTGCGAATTAATCCATAATGTATTCTTTGTAAAAATGCAGATTTAAAATAATATGAAAAGAAGAACTTTAGATAACTTAATATTTTATTTTTGCAAAGGCTCTTACGTGGTAGATGGGCCTATTGACAGTTCTAAGACAACTCATGCATTAAGAACTACTCTCCGCCCGACCATAAAAAGCTCTAATCGGGCTTCTGTATATCCAGATCTACAGTTCAAGCAATAACAGGTAACTTACAACTCGGAACAAGCTTGACACGGAAAACAGAACCTTAAAATATTTTGATCATTCGAGAAATGTTACCATTTAGAATCTCACTGCACAAATATGCTGAAGAATTCTCCTCTTTCTCTTGTCATTCTTCCGTTGTAAACTCTAGGTATATTTGTGTCCCAGAATCCAGAAATAAAAACAAATGAAAGCTCTGTCACTCCATAACGGAAATCAGACTGTTTCTATCGCTGATCTACCGCCATACCTGGAATTGCTTCAAGCATAAAGTTGTCCTGTTGCCACTCAGGAAGGCTGTTCACTTGCACTGAGAAGACAACACAGGCATATAGTGTAATCAAGAGCACACAGCACGCTGTGGCCAATGTTACGATCACCACTGCAAAACAAACAGGACAATAAGGGTCACGCTTCCTTCAATTTCTTCTCTCAAATAGTATTTGATATGAGAATGGATGAGACCGAAAAACTTGTATTTAGAAACGGATTCAATAGAAAAAAAGAAGACATCCAATTACTGATAAACGATTCTGTACATTCATAAAGTAATATGTTTCAAGGGACAAAATATCTGGGAGCATAGAGAAGCACACTAGAAGACACAGCCCGTGAGCGCAGTTCATCTAATTCCAGAATTTAAGATTTATAGAAACAAAGGCACAAAAAACTTAATTCTAAGTTCTTTGCATATTCCCATTTAAGATATTAAAGAAAGTGCTTAACTTAATTAAACTAAGGAGCACATTATAGATAAACGTACAAAACAAGAAGAAGAAGAAGAAGAAGAAGGCTCTGTCCAAACATAGAGTGTAAAGGGCACGTAAATTTAAATATATCTAAATTAAACATTCAAAAACTTCTTATCTCTTGTGCGTATCAAATTATAAGAAATTATTTATTTTGGAACACAATACGAAATTAACTACTAAACTATATTTCACGAAGATCTGCGTTACACAATAACTTTTTTTTTAAATGGACAATCCCGAAGTCAAAACACGAAAGCACACGAAACTTCAGAACTGTGAACATGACCACCTAGTTGCAATATTGTAAAATCCGTATTAGCATAAGATTCAGAAAGAGAATGCAACTAATGATGAAACATTATGATATGGTAATGTTGGCAGTCTACATCAGTGTGACTCTGCCAAGGTGTCCCTCCTATAGTAGGGCTAATTTAGGGCGCATCTCCGGACATCTTCTAAACGGAAGCCCCTCCCACCTCCACTTAGATATTTTAAGTTAGTGTTCCGCCATGTAGCTGGAATGATTGAGAAAAACCACGAAACGTCTCATTTGGGATAGAAGTTCGCCTGGAAAACATTTGCGCTGGGGGCCTCCCGATATGATGCAGGACTGCTAATCATTCCTCGGTGTCGTTCGGTTTCTAAAACATGCGTTTTATATATGTGAGTAGTTACCTGAGAGGAGAAAGTAGTAAGTTCTCACATTCGTGATAGAAAAATGTATGGACGTACTGACTCTTTTAGCTGCTATATATATAGTTATAGCCGATCACACTGGCCGCTCGGTGTAAGGAATGAACTTTCTTCGCCCGCTCGATCACTGGGATCGTGGGTTCGAATTCCACTAGGCGCATGGATGTCTGTTTGTTTTATTCTGTGTTTGTGTTGCCCTGTGTATAGGTAGAAGCCTCGCGACGGGCTGATCCCCTGTCAAAGGAGTCCTACCGACAGTGTGTAGGATTAAGAAACTGAAAAGTGGCCAAGGCCCAACAAAGGGCTGTAGAGCCATAGATAGACAGATATGTAGTTGTGGCAACTCTGCTTCATTCATTTGAATACCAAATGATGCGTAGTTCCAAAGAGGAGAGAAGAGATCTCGGGCTCTGCAACTTCCTGTCTCATCAGGATGCTCCTCCACGGTTCATTCACAAGCATTAAACCTACTCTGCGTGACTCGCGCTGCGTGTCATTTTGCTTTACATCCCACACTGCCTGCCACTCCTCGCGATCTGTGAGTCATGTGGGGTTATGCGTCCTTCAGATAGTGCCCCATTACTGAATAAAACCCAAATGGACTGCAGTTAACGATCTAAGGACTAAACCAGACCGCCATGAGGTGACTTCGTTATTGTTTGAAACTAAACATAATACACTGTTAATGTACTAAAAATTACTTTTACAATTGTTCCCGTCTCGACACATTGAATAATCAAGTCTGGAAGATGAGGTGGGCGGGGCATGTATCACGAATTGGGGAGAAGAGGATGCATATAGGAGAATGGTGGGAAAGCCAGAAGGAAAGAGATCACTAGGAAGATGAAGACGTAGGTGGGTGGACAATATTAAAATGAATCTTAGATAGATAGGACGGGATGGTATGGATTGGATTGATCTGACTTAGGATAGGGACCAATGGAGGGCTCTTGTGAACACGGTAATGAACCTTCGGGTTCCATAAAATGCTGGGAAATCCTTGAGTAGCTGCAGAATTGGCGGGTCCTCAAGAAGGGTTCAGCTCCATGAGTAAGTAAGAGTAAGTAAGTCTCAACGCAACAACCACCAAAACTCACACAATTCGCTGTGTAATAATGCGTTTATTGATCTCGTGTTCTTACATTGCGCTATATGTTTCGGCTCCTAAAGCCATCATCAGGCGGATAATGGCTTTAGGAGCCATTAACGAACATTTTTAAACTCCTGAATTGCGCTCTGTATATGGTCTCATATGAATGTGAGTTTTGATATTGTTGTGTTAAGACAGGAACAATTTTAAAAGTAATTTTATAGAATAACACAACAGGATGTATTCCTTGAAGGTTAATTTACTGTCTGTTTTGCGTCTTTGTGCCTTATGTACTAATACTCCTACTTGTGTAGTATATTTTATAATTACATTAACACAACTGAACAATAATAATATTCTGATAATGATGAAATTCAATTCTTTACTTATTTAAGTACATACTCAAGAGCCCAAAGTCCAGATATAAAGTAAGCACCAGCAAAAGAAAGAAAGAAAATCACAAAGAAAGAAGACAGAACAAGGCGACCTGTGTCACTTGGACCATAAGACCAAACTCAACTAGTGAAATCACGCCAAATATCATGTGGTGAGAAAAATTATGTGTGTCCTTATATATGCTATATGTGTATACGTATATGTATGAGCATTCATCTTGAATACAATTAGTATTTTAATAATTGAGAAAGGACCATAATAAAATACGATTAAGAGAAACCGTTGATTCCAAATATGTCAGCAACTCTACAGACAACATTAGCAGCTGAAGAGCGTCTAGCAGAAGGAAAATTTGTACTTGAAGAGAACATATTGAACACAAATTCTCTGATATGCTGAGCAGCAACTCGAAGACAATGACATTCCAATAGAAAGGACAGAATTTAGAACCAAAGTAACCTTGGATAAAGGCCGCGCCATAGCTCAAGCGGTTAGTCGCTGGCTTCCCACCGCGGTGGCCTGGGTTCGATCCCGGGGTCTGGTCAAGTGGGATTTGTGGTGGACAAAGTGACGCTGGGGCTGGTTTTCTCTGAGTACCTCGGTTTCCCTCTGTCAATCCTCATTCCACAAAATTCTCCATCGTCGTAATCACCCGGGGCAGGCTACAATAGGCCAATCAGTGGCCGCCGTGCCGAGTGGACCCCGTTGGACTCCACCCCCCACTAAGCGAATGAAAAAAAAACTTGGAGAAGGAATAGCGCACCAAGAGATGTATACAACTTTTTTGCTCAAAACTTTAAAGGACAGATATCGTTTGGGATATCCAGGTACTCGTATATTTGGAAGGATAATAATAAAATGGGTCTCAGAAAAATATGGTACGGATGTATGGACTGGATTTAGCCAGTCCTGGATAGGATCCTTCAATATGGTAATTAATATTTCGGTTCCATTAATGGTCAAGAACTTTACCAGCTACTCAAGGACGATCCTTATAGTACTTATTATTATTATTATTTTCTTTATGTGTTACATTCTGGTCCGTCACACTAACAATTACAAAGATAAAACAAGTCCGTCCAGTGTGACTATTTAAATTTTACCACTTGAAAACTCAGCACCCTTACATGTTTCAATCCTTACGGACCATCTTCAGAGGGAACATCGATACTTATTTGGAAACTACTATCACAATAGGTGTTCTGAGTGCTAAATTACATACACACACACACAATGCCTGGAATACATAATATACACAAAATCCATTTTTTTTTTCCACAAACACAGCAGCTTTCCTGGCATATTAAAATTTTTAAAACTTTGTTCTTTAAGTTGAAATTTATAAACCAAGTAGGTTCGTGTCACTTCTCCTATCGTCTTTCTTGAA